GGGAGTTTTCCCGAGGTTTCCTCGAGGACAAGATAATATAAAGAGAATATAAACGAGAATTTTTTATCGACTTAATCACTCATGCACTTTCTGATTCATTCGCCTCCGATAGATATCTTTGACAATACCAGTTGAACGAGGGGTTTCTTCATCACTGTCCGAATCTCCACCAGCTGCCCTCCTTTTCCTCTGTGCAGAGTGCTGTTGAAATTCGTTTGATGCTAGGACCTGAACACTGAATTTTTATGTAAAACAGAAAAATTTACTTTTCAAAAAATTGTAGAATTGTAAATTGGATAACCACAGCTGTGGTACCACCAACAATTTATTTAAAAAGGCAAATACTATTTTTGCGCATTTAAAAACTGAGCGAAATTGTTAGAAATCAACTGCAAGAGCTGACAGTCATAGCCCAATGGCAAGTAAAGCTGTTGTAGTGCCAAAAGTCAGGAATTCAATTCCGTAACTGAGACCAACAATCCCTGTACGATTCAATGCGATGGTAAATTTGTGTGGCGCATGCCAGGGAATTGAAATTGGCATCAAAGCAAATCTCCGAAGAGGGAATATCAGTAGCGCTGCCAGCGAAAAATTGCTGTTGGAACATGCTACCAATCAAGCTGTTTCAGAGTGCCTTTGCCTCTCGCCCAAGTGAGAGAGCCTTGAAAAAGTAAAGTCTTTGTTAAATCAGTCAACTAAAACATCCACGGTTTGTTTTCCTGTGTTCGCTTAGCTGTTTCCCAATCTTACACAGATTAGCAGACTAACGATATTTGGGTCCGTTGTTGTATTTAATAACTGATAAAATTCTTTTTTGACATCTTCAATTCGCTGCATCCCAAACATCGTGCCATTTTCCAGTTTCACTTTTGGATCGACTGTTGGTGCTGCAAGTGCATCAATTTGAATTTAGGAAATTCAATAGCAACTAATGCGCAAGTAAAAATTACAACTTACGTCCAGACTGACTGAATTTTGTTAAGCTTTCCATAAGCAGATCCACAGAAACAAACGGGCCGTTGAAGCACCAAGGAGGCGGCAGCATTTGCATAAGCTGAGCAACCGCAGCTGGTGGCGGAAAAACACCTCAAAAAAAGTTAATTTTAGCATCGAATTAGTCAGAACTTTCAGCGCCCTTTGTAAGATGATGGAATTAAACAAACCTCCAGGCACCGGATGATAACTTGCTGCTGTATTCAGCTTTGGCTTGAATGGAATCATTTGATCAGTGTCGGGTCGCGGATAGCCAGAAATTTCAAGACTCACACCACCGCCCATCACAACAGATGGCCCTCCTGCAGCTGCGGCCGGCCGTACAATTGTATGACCTGCATAAATGATAAAAATTAAAAATTACATTCATTCTTGGAACAGAATGTGGAAAAATTTTTAGTGAAATATGACCTGTTGCTTGGACACCGTTCGCTGAGAGGGATACAGTACCAGCTGAAGCACGTCCGATCAATGATGATCCTTGTCCCAATTTTTTCTGTAAAATTCGCCGGTTTTTTTACACAAGTGACAGTACGCATCAGGTTTTCCAGTGCGACCATGTGCTTACTGCATAATTTTTAATACAGATAATTGTTGCTAAATAGGAATGTTATTTCGGTCAGGTAA